ATAGTTAAAAAAATATTTAAAATACTTACATAATTTTAAAAAGTTTAAAACCTCAATCAAATATTCTATTATGAAGCTTGAATTAGACCTCCTTCACAGTTCTTGCGCATGCTCTGTTTTTTTTTTTTTTTTAGCATTGTCGCGCACGGAGAGATGAGAAAAGAGGAAGAGAACTGTAAAAGAAAATAGGCAAATGTTGTTTTAAAATAACGTGTGGGTCCCACGCATTTTGCTTTCTTTTCCTTTCTTTTGTTTTTTTTTAAACATGTATGCACACCACACACGCCTGCGGAAATGAAAAGCCGCCCCCCTCTTTTATATATATATATATATATATATATATCTTTCATTTATCAATCACTCTCTCTTTTATATTTCTTTTTTTTTTTTTCTTAATAATAACAATAATTTCTAAAAAAATATTAATTTAAAATTATATCTCAAATTAAATATAATAGTCTTCTCCTACTAATTTACTTACCTCTAAATATTTTTTAAGATTTTTATTAACACAAATTAACTATTAAAATTTAAATTGAGATATTATAGAGAAAGGTTACAGGTAACCTTTGATTTTTCAAAGGTTTGAGGCAACCAAAGGATTCTATTTTTTTGTTAATGCTTGTTTAATTGATTAATGGTTATTGTAAACTTGAGATTATGTTTCTAAAGATTAATTTGACATTTTTGTGATTTGGAAAATGTTGCAAGTAAGGCAAACTTAAAATTTGAGCAATGGTTTAATATTAAGTTGAATATGCAATTTTAGAAGTTAAGTTATTATATGAACTCCTGCATGTGTATTATTGATGCATTGAGCATGTAATGTTGCTGTATTGAGCATGTTGGCATGATTATATGTTAAGCGAGAGTTCACTCTATGAGGAGTTAGTGTTATTTCTATCCACCTGAATATTACCAATACCATGGGTGGCTCTAGTATTTGGTTTAGGGTCAGGTCTTCTTGAACCTCACCTAAAAGTAGGTGTAAGTGTAAGTTACCCAGGCCCTTAAGCCCTTAACATTACCTGAAACTGAGTATAGGGTAGGGCTTGCCATATCCCAAGAATTCAAGAATGAGAGAATTTGTGGTTTGAAAGTGAGAGCACACTTTTAGCTGGATAGTCCCTTAAGTGGGTGAGTTTTTGTTAGTCTATTCACATGAGCACAATCTTATTTGAATTGTCAACCTATAGATTTAGTTGGTAGTATAAAGAGTAGATAAAGAGTAATTGATCATGCATCTTACTTATCATGTGATGTGATATTTTCTTGTGAATTTAATTAATTTTAAATGTCGACTTTGCATACATGAATTGATTTGACTTGGATGTATATAATTTAAAGATTTTTTAGTTATTGAGTAGTTATACTCACATCTCATTTAACATATTATAGGTACTAGTCCTTATCAGAGTAAAAAGGGAAGCATTTGAGGCATAGGATTAACTTTTCCATTTGAAATGCCTTTGGTAATTATATAGTATGTGTACATATAGATGATATTGGCACCTAGGTTATTTATTTTGATATACTTGTGCCATTTGCATATCTTGTGATGGGTTGTAATTAGGACCCTAGATGTGGGTGTGGTGCATTGTATAGGTTGTTCTAAGTTCCTGAAGTTTGATCTAGGTGTGGTTGTAGGTTTTTGGCATAATAGTTGGGTTTTGGACACCTTAAAAAGTTAAAAATATGAAAATGTGGTTGATGTGATTGTAGGTGTCTAGTTGTGAGATATGAGATAATTTAAACATGAGACTAGTGTCATTATCTAATATATGGAATGAGTTTTAGTGGACACCCAGAAACCTTAATTAGATGTCGGACAAAGATTAAGGACACACTAGAAGTTCAATCCTGTAATCTAGTTTGACAACAAAGTTGGTGTCATGGATTTGTGCAGTAGCCATAGTGGATGGCGCCTATGCTGCAGTATGCAACACAAAAACAGGTTAGTTGCGATGCACAACCTTTGCATTGTCAGCCTCGGCGAACACCTTTGTTAGTTGCAGTGAATGTCCTAGAATTTTGAAAATGACATTATAAATCTCTTTTTCAAGGGATTTTCAAATCCTTCTAATATTTTATGGTTCCGTATATTTTATAACTCTTATATTTATGTCTTTCTATCCTTGAAAAGTTAATGCCTTATGTTAAAACTTGAGACCCCATATTTACAAGAGGTTTTATATTATCAAATGAGTTTTAAACTAATCTATCATGATAGAATCCATTCTACCATGACAAGGGTTATATATTTGTATATGCTTTAATTGGATAAGTAAATTTTTATTAATCATAATAGACTTTTAAATTAAGTCTCTTTCTTTTTTTTTTTTACTATGATTAGTTACTTTTTATATTTAGAGTTAAAGAATCTCCCATGATTAGTTTTTTGGAATGAGTTATGCTCTAATTATCATGATAGATTGTAATTATTATGGTAATATATTTGCAATATTTAAGAGACATCACACTTATAGGCTCAAGCCCAATAGCCCAATTGCCCCCAAAATTAATCATTTTTTTAAACTCAACCTTTATTCAAAGAATTCAAGGCTGAAACCATATACCCGTTGTTATTATTATTTTATTTTTTTAAAATTATAATTTTTAATTATAATATTTCATATGTTTTAAAATACAAGTCATAATGTTTAAAAATCAAAAATAAATAATAAAAATTCTAATTTTAAAGTATATATATATATATATATATATTAAAGTTTAAATTTAATTTAAAAATTAAAAATATTTTTTTTTAAGGGTAAAACAAAAAAAAAGCTTAAAAGGTCTACTTGAGTCTCTTTTCTTAGAACTTATCAAGGTTGTATTTTAAAACTCATTTTCTTAAAAAAATGTCATTTTTTTAAACTCGAACTCGAATTTAAATAGGCAACGCTTCAAGCTTAGCCCTTATTAGTTATTATTAGACCTACCTAGTATTAATTCCAACCCTAATTTCAATCTAAATCCATTGAAATTCATACGTTCCTACCAAACAGGGGCTAAAGGTCATCTAAGGTTCTTCTACATTTAATACAGCAAAACAGGTTTTGGTGTTTCTGACTGATTTTCTTCGTTTATGAACAAACAGCAACACACACACAAACACACAGAGGAAACTCGAGATGCAACAGAAACCTGTTGCCAAGAATCACAATCACATGCCCACTAGGTCTTCTTTCTATGACATCTGGTTCAGTTGTCCTTCACAGACCTCTTCAAATCAGCAAGCTGTTGCAGATTTGACAAAAACCCTTTACTCTCATCGTCATGCTGAGTTAATGAAAGCTCTCGCAAGGTTTTATTCTTCAGAAAACTATAGCATGCAGTTTTTAAAATTTGTATGAAAGTAACATAATTGTGTCGTAATAATTTTGATGCCAGTCAGGTGAAGCAAGCAGGAGTTGATGCCTAGGTTTTTCTTTTGGGCTTTAATTCACTGTTTGAACCTGGTCTTCCATTTGCGAGCTAGCAGATTCAATCCAGCCATGGTCTGACTCAACATTTCTCTTTGTTCCTTGCATTGACTTCACGTACCCGCTGTATATTCGTTGGAGTTCTTGTCTCCTCTGAATGATTTAGTGCTCCCTGCAACTCCCTGCGTCACACATTGAAACCAATTATAACATCTGACATGATGATGCCACCTTTGGACATAAAAGTTAAGATTTTCCTTGAAAAAATGGGGTCAAAACAAATGAAAATCAACTATTTCAAAGTATTGTCAAAGGTCACATTTTCCCAGCTCATTCAAAAAAAAAAAAATTTGTGGTCCACATACGAGAAAGAAATTGCATTAGTTAGGCTGCACACGAAATCAGGTGAGACAGAAATTGCATGAGAAATAAAACTGTGTGCAATGCAAGCGCAATGTTGCAGCAAGCATCTACAAGACTGAAAGTATAAATTATAAAGACATCAAGGGATGAAGCTAAACAGGTAACTGCACATGCATTACAGGTTTCCTTTCTTTCAATTGCAGAAATTGACGATGTGTTTTTAACGGGACCATGGAAACATCCTACTTAGAAGTTTCAAAATCAGTTTGTGTGATCAGTCATTTTGTTGAGCTACTTTCTCCACAACGAATGTCACTTCATTTCAAACTTTTCTTGTTGATCACATGAAAATTACCAATTTCAGATTGGTGAATTTGGATTAAAAAACGCGAACAAAGTGGAAAATGGGGAACGTATAAACGTGGGTTACACTCCTTGATTTGAATACTACTTTGCCTCCAACAGCACGCATACCAACTAAACAATTGACCACCCATTAACATTTTCAATTTTGAAATGCAATTGAAATTCATTACGCGGCAAAAGAAATACGAAGTCATGCTGGATTGCACAAAAACTTGTAGACAAAATTTGTGGACTTTGAAAAAGAGGTCTAACTCTTTGTTCTGAATTTGCCTCCGGCTGCTAGCTAGTCCACTTGAACCGTTTGTCAACATTTTCTAATAGAATTTAGCAGCTTGAGAATCGGTTCCCTGAACAGGGTAATGCCAACAGGTTTCTTTTTTATTTTCTAATATGATTCTATTTCTTTTCGGAGCTCTTATCCTAGAGAACCAAAAAAAAAGAGGGAAAAAAAAAAGAGTTCTTTATCATTAGAGCATGTTATTAGAAAATCACGAAGTCACAAGCATTGATTGTGATGACTTGGAAAGTAACAATGCAAACCAGCTCATTAGCATAAAAGAGAAGGCATCATCAGAGCCTCGTCAAAGGCGCAAATTAAGGAAGGAAAATTGGAACCAATGAACTGTATGGGAAAAGCATAGCAACTGGAGTTGATAATTGTGGTGGATACAAGCCTTGTGTTTTCATCATTATAAAGTTTCAAAAGCACTTCACTTTTGCCCACATCTTATCTAATAAAGTATGTCCTTTTGAAACCTAAAAAGAAAATACATAAATACTCCGTGCTCATATGTATATATAAAAGCCAAAATTCAACATCCCGCTTCTTGGAATTGTTATTCCGCAAGCACTTATCAAACTCATTTATACCAAAATCAAGCAAAGCTTGCTCTCACATATGATTTGAGAAAAAACATGATCCAAGGTTGTTTCAGCCAACCCGGCTCACCATCAAGCATCTCTCAAGTGCCTCAGAACCTCGTAACCTGTATATACCAAATTCAACCATGCAATTCACCGACCTATCTCACCCTCAGTTGGTCCAGCACACTTCTCTCTCGTTCCTTGCTCATATGTTCTACAGATACCTTCTCCATCACCATTTCTCTCAACCCTTCAACCCTTTCACTCTTCAAAACACGACCGGGATCAAAATCCATCCATCTCACTCAAACCCGCCAACATGTCCGGAAAATCAAGCTCTACTGGGACTTTTCTCGAGCACGTTACAGTCATAACTCAGCTGAGCCGGAGTCATGCTTCTACTTGGCAATTGTCAGCGATGGCAAACTCGAATTCTTTCTCGGTGATCTTTTCGACGATTTGACCAGGCGTTCTAACAGATTGGTCACAACCCGCCAGCCCCCTGAACCGGTTCTGCTGTCTAGGAGAGAACACGTTTTCGGAAGCAGGAGTTACAAATCGCGAGCTCAATTCTTGGGGGCCAAACACGAAATAGAGATCGAATGCGATGAGGGTGTGCTCAAAGTGAAAGTGGATGGCCAAACTAGCTTGGTTGTGAAAAGGCTGTCCTGGAAATTCAGAGGGAACGAGAGAATCATGATCGATGGAATTGAAGTCGAGTTCTTTTGGGACGTGTTCAGCTGGGTTAATAGCAATAGCAACGGCCACGGTGTTTTCGTGTTTCAAGTAGGGGACGGCGGTGTGCTGCCGGAAATGGTGGGTCCAGAGAAGAAGTTAATGAGGAAGAGCTTGTCGTCGGGACCAACGTCGGCGCCAACGATGACATCGTTGTCGGCGTCGCTGTCGAGCTCTAGCGTGTTACAGTGGACGGAGGAAAGCAGCGACGGAGGGAGGAGCTCGTGCTCTTCATCGACGAGGTCGTGCGGAAGCAATGGTGGGTTCTCTTTGTTGCTGTATGCTTGGAGCAGAGACTAGAATCCGAAAAGGAAACAAGCCGTTTGGCCGGCGCTATACAGTTCATTGCAAGGCTTGGTTATTTCAATTCAGGATTTCTCAATTCTTTGCAGGCCTTTTCAAATTCTAATGGCTGTGTTATGGAGTGCAATTTTTTCCGTTCATCATGTTGCAAGTTTCTTTTCTCCGGCCATAACACTCCATTATAATTTTTTCCATTTTATTTTCAATTTGATTTGTTCAACAAGAATATGTACATGGAATCAATCTTTTGTTTGTGTAATGAGAATCCAAAGGCCTAAAATAAAAATTTAAATATAAGACTAGAACGCAGGTTAGCGTTGTAGTTTTGGAATCAATCTTTCGGTTGTGTAATGAGAATCCAACGCATGTTAGGGTCGATTATGGAACAAGTTGCGATGAGACCATGACGATGGAACGCGCCTTTGATAAAGTTGTGTTGAATAATGTTTTTTCCTTCGGTCCCCGTTGTATTGCCCTCTAGAGGGGTTGGGAGATGGCTGAGCAATGATGAGGATACAGCGCAAAGGTCAGAAGACCGTTTACCTTGAAATTGAATGCTTCAAAGCAGAGCAACACTGCCAGTCCACCTTCAAATTATTATGTGATGTACGCCATCCTGATTGAAAGCTGGCCTCTTCTTCCCCTTTACAAATGGCCATAGGTCCCCCCCACCTTCTCTTACACCATGTTCTTTCCATTTTCTTTCATTCAAAAATAAGCAAAACAGGCAAGAAAAAGAAATGGCCTTTGGTCCCATATTCTTTTTTTTTTTCTTTTCTTTTTTCTTAATGAAAAAATTAAGGTTTATTTAAAAATTTATTTTGAAAATAATTTTCTAATCTTCATGTTTTAAAAAATGTTTTAGAGAATATAAAAACTAACTATTGTTTTGAAAAATAAAAAAAATAAAAATATTTTTAAAAAACTTGAGATCATAGTTATATAGTTTTATAAAATCTTGTAATCCTTTTAGATTAATTCGATGATTAACTTGATTTCATAATTAGTTGTAAATTAATAAGAGTGACTTTACATTACACAGCATAGAGAAGGTCATGCTGGATGCTGCTACGGTATGAAAAATGACATTTTTGACCTTTTTATTTTTATTTTTCCTAGCTAATGGGATACTTCCTAATGCTTTTAGAACTCTGCTTTGTGATTAAAGTGGGCCTTGTTATATTCACAAAAAAAAAAAAAGTGAGCCTTGCCTCGTTACGCTTTAAACTATTTGTAGTCTTAGGATCTTAAAAATTTGCTTAATAATACCTTATCCTAATGGGTTTAAATCCTTTTTTAGTATATTAGTAGCTATTAAATAACTTAAATCCTTTTTTTTCATGACAGGTTTCTCTGACTAATACTATTTTCTGTATCTTCAAATTATAAGTTTAATTTTATTAACCATAATAGATCTTTAACCCAGATCTTCTTTTTTTTTCCTACTATAATTAGCTTTCCTTAATTACAATTAATTTTTTTTGCTATGGTAAGGTGACTAGGGTGATTAATCCTTATTTACCATGATAATATATGATATTATGGTTAAGGCCAGTGGAGTAATTAGAAAATATTATACATAGGATTTTAATTGAGGGATCAAGTTGTAAATGATTATGTGAACGCAATAACAACTATTACAAGGGACAATTATAGTTATCATTTTTTGCAAATATTATTGAGTCTACTACAAAACTCTTGAGTAGGAACATGGATGTTAAATTTTTCTTTATTTATTGAGAGGAAAACTTGATGGTTGATTACTTAACTAAATTAGCTTTCAGCCTCACTGATGATGTTAATTTTTTCGCTCACCCACCCATTGCATGACTGATGTGCTATTGGGTTTAGGTTCTGTTTTGTTTTTCTAATATTCTGTTTCTTTTTTCTGGCTATTTGTAGTGCATTGCTTGTATTTTGGCTTCCTTTCTGAATGAAATTGTTCTCTTGTTTTATTAAAACAAAAAAAGATTAATTTTCCCTTTTTAAATATCAGAGCAACCCAGATAAATTGAAAGAAAAATATCAATAAACGATCTTGGAAGCCATTTCATAAAAGAATTCCTAACAATTAAATGTTAACAAATTAATAAGTAAAGTTGATGTTTTAATAAGTATATGATCCGTTGAGGTCCTTATAAGATATTAAATTTTTTTAGGTATCATTCGTTGATCTTCTCCCCAAATACTCAATGCACTTTATTCACAAAGTTCTATACCTAATTAAGAGCCAATGACGCAACTCAAACAATGAGTTTGAAATAAGCATAATATGTAACACCAAAGCTTCACAGTTCACTTTGGCCCCCCAAAAAAAAACAAAAGATTCAAAGTTCACTGCTTCTTGCCCAAATTCGTGAGGAACTACAAGCCATTTGATTATTTTGTTGATGTATATACAATCTGTCAATTCACATTCAAATCGGATGCAGCACCCAGAGAATCGATGTGAATGCAATAAGAATTATTCACCCAACAGAATTTCCAGAGTTGAAGCTGAAAATCTGACCAATAGCTTCAAGTGCAGAAACATTCCAACTCTCAACATGCTTCACAATCTGTCTCCCAAAAAAAAAAAAAATGGTTGCAGGCACCAGTTAGCATGCAATATAAAAGCTAAAAAAGAATCAGTTTAGGTTTATGTGGCAGCAAGATGAGGTTGTATTATTTTATTCTAATTACTCTGAATTTTCCGTCCAATTCATAAAGAGTGCTCCCATCAATACAAATCAGAGGTCTCCAAGGAAGCTTCAAGTTAGTCCTGCATATATCAAACAAAGACGAAGGCAAGGGTTCATTTTCATCTAACTTCAGTTGAAGCAATGCAATTAAAAAGTGCTCAAACATTAATGTTAAAAAGATAAAACTCAGCTTCAGCACCTTAGTTTCCAGGTTGCCACAACAAAATTCGTGTCAGAATCAACGACCTGCATCCATTTCAAATCATGAATGAAGCTTGAGAGCGGATCTGCATGCCTCTTTAACAGTAAAATGAATTATAAACAGTGAATGACAGGAGGCCAATTTGTTCTCCGTTAGAAAAAAAAGGCAGAGATTAAAGAAGACGAAAACCGGTCAGTCAAAGTTTCAAGTTCAATGACAGGCCGCACGTGAAAGTAACTGGAGTGGCTGTTATCTTCATCTGGTTTTACAACTGGCTTAATAATTCAGATGGGAAAACTACCTTTCTGATTTTTTGCAGTGTAATTGATGCACGGTCAAAGAAAGGAACAAGCAATTTCAAGTTGCGCGCATACAACTCCCTTCCTGAATTGAATGACCACACATCATTTTAGTTACTCGGCAAATTTCTACTCTCAAGCTTATTTTTTCCTCAGTTAGCCAGATGTTTTGAAGATTTGATAACAACGGAGGAACTCCAGTCATGATTCTAGCCACTTACCCCGAAAGCTAATAGTTGGATCTTCGAAGATACAATCTTCAGCATAAATAGAAGGCGTGAAATCCCCTAGTTACATGAGAGAAAAAGTAAAAACAAAATCAGTCATGTCTGCTAATGGATTTTCAGTAAGTTATTAGGGGCCAAAAGCTCAGTCAGTGACCGCACTTGCTACTGAAATGAAATAAAGCAGAAGGAGAGTGTGGGGTTAACCTGTAACAAAATAAGCATTCACGTAATCAGATTGAATGATGAGGAGAACATCATCCACACTTGAAGCTGGGGATTCATCCGCTTGTTCCTCTGTGACGCTAAGCAAAATGCTGAAAATCAGTCAAGGCAAGAAGAAATTGAATAAAAAGGATGAGAAGGATAGTGAAGGAGTTAAAAGCACCTGGCTGAAGAGGAGGGAGAGAGAAGGCGCAAAAGCTCAGTGACTGCACTTACAGCTATTTTCAACGAGGGAGGAGTCTGTGGGTTGAGAGAGGCATAATCGGTTCTCTTATGGCGTGTGGTGGAGGTGGAGCAGCATTTGACACCATGGATTCTCTGCAGATGAAGCATCAGATCAAAGCTGAAACGAACAGCGGAGGGATCAATTTATAACCAAAGATTTGATACCTGGGAGTATAAGCTTGTCAGAGGATGCCCAGCCCTCCATAACACTTCTGCCATTTCTCTCTTTCTTTCTGCTTCTGTTTCATTGATCACTGATTTGGGTGTTGTAACTTGTACACTTGTGAACCTACTTTCCGCTCCTTTTTTTTTTTTTTTTTTTTTTTGTAAACTCATTTTCTCATGAGAAACCTCTGCGTCTTATCATTTTTCATTCTGCACCCCTCACAACAACAACAACAACAAAACGGAATATTGTGTGGCTGTGGTTTGGGCCTTGATGAGCACTCCCTCATATTAAACATCATCCATAAATCAAATATGTGGGGACCTGAGGGTGGAGATACTTGGTAAAGGCCACTCAAACATGTACTGTAATTATTAAATAAAATTAGTTTTTTTTTGTGCCCCCTCAATAAAATAAATGATGTTGAGACTTTATTATTTTGTTTAATACAATAACATAGTTGAAAAAATGTGCAAGACAAATCAAGATTAAGTTACGCTAAAAAGAAAAAATCCTTACATCCAAGTGGTGGTAAATAAAATAAAATAAAAAACTTGATATGCAAATTGTCTTAGTAAACCTGGATCTTGGGTAAAATTGAAATGCAAGATGAAATGCTGAGTTATTTTTAAATTATTTGTATATAACATAAAAAATTTAATGAAGGCAAGAATCGCATGTTTAGAATAAGGTCAGCTGTTTTGTCATAAAACGAATAGCAATGCAAATAATTTGATAGCAAAAGAAAATTTAAAGACATCAAGGCCCTGTTGTTGGTGGGAAAAAATTGAGGTGGGCTTCTATTTATGATTTTTAATTAATAAACATCACTAATAATAGTATTACTCTTATGAGAATAAGAAGAATATAAGTGAAAAAGGTGGGGAAAAAAACAAGACGAGAGAGAATTATAAAGAAAGGAGAAGTAATATTCATACATATATCTATCTCGTATGTATGATACATTGCTTCTATTTATAAACTCTAATCTTATTCAATAGTTACAATAAATTGAATAGAAAAATTAATTTATATCCATATACAATATATAACTTTTGAGTTTGTGAGTAGTAAGCTTGTAAAAAAAAAAAAACTAAAATCATGCATTAGAGAGTTTATGTGGTGTAAAATATAAAAGGTTAAGAGTTGAGAGAATTTATGAACATTCATGTATTATAATATTTATAACAATTATATATATTTACTAAAGAAATTTAATGAATCCTTATGGTGTTCAAATAGTAATTATGAATATTTTTACTTTTTAAATTCTAAACTTAACAACACTGGATTCATGAATGATTAGACGTGATAAGATGGGCGATCTATAATGCAGTAGTAATTAAGTTTATTGCATTCCTTGGTATACTCATGTAATCTCATTTATAAGATATAGAAGATTTTTTTGTTCTATTTATAAATTACATAAATAAATTTTTATTATAAGTTTTTTTATCCCCATTAAACATTAGAAAGAAAAATATATTATTAAAATATATATTTAATAAAAATAAAATTAAAAACTTATTAAATTTTTAAATAAAGTTAATAATTTTTGTTTTCTAAGTTTCAGTTAAAATATGTTGCAAGTGAATCAGAATTATATAATTATCTTTGCCCATAATAACCTGAATTTTATTGTCATTTCCTCTTTTCTTAATCAATCAATTAGTCCCAGATGTATAGACCAGGTTCGTCACTCACTTGTTTCTAGATGCCTCATCACCTCGTTTCTAGTTCTTATCAGCATCTGCCGGGAGGAGTGAGGACTGGGAGCGAGTCACTCGTCCATTGATCTCTAACCCGGCAATCCCTTTTAGTATCACCGGCGAGCCGCCACCGTCGTCATCGCCATGGCAGACTTCAACGCCGCCGCCACTCGCCCTATCAAGATTATCACGGGCGCCGACTCCTTTGGCTGTTCTCTCAAAGACGCTTTAGTCACCCATTTGCGATCCCTAAACATTGACGTCGAAGATCTCGGCACTTCCTCTTACTACTCGATCGCAGCCGAGGTCGGTCGCCGAGTTTCCGAGTCTTTGTCATCTTCGTCATCCCCTGAGACTCGGGGACTTGTTGCTTGTGGCACCGGCTTCGGCGTCTCAATCTTCGCCAACAAATTCCCGGGCGTCTTCGCCGCGACTTGCCTCAACCCCTCTGAAGCCCGCAATGCCCGCTCCATCAACAATTCCAATGTCCTCGCCGTCTCCGGCCTGTCCACCTCCCCTGAATCGGCCATTGAAATTCTGGATACCTGGCTCAATGCCCCTTTCAAATCCCCATGCCCTGCATCTGACAACAAGCCGTGGCCCGATGAAATTCAATCGTTCCTCGATAATTCGCTGGTGGAGATGCCCAAAATTGGGGAGAGATCTCCTGTGGTGGATACCTGCGCGGTTTGTTGTTTGGTGAAGAACCGAGAACTGAATCCGATTGATATAATTCCAGGCGGGTCGATGAAGATTCTGAGAGAAACCCCCACATCGGCGTTCGTGAGGTTCAAGGCGGGGAGCGTGGAGCCAGCGCATCACCACACATTTGGTCACGATTTGGCGGTGATCCAGGGCAAGAAAAGCGTCTGGAATTTGAGTAAGAAGGAGAGGTACGATTTGACGGTTGGGGATTACTTGTTCACCCCACCTGGGGATGTGCATAGAGTGAAATACTACGAGGACACTGAATTTTTCATCAAGTGGGATGGCCACTGGGATATGTTCTTTGACGAGGATCTTGACACCGCCAGAAACGCCATTGACAAGGAGATAGTCGATAAGCACCCAGAATTCTAATACAAGTCGTGGCTTTTGATTATGCTTTGAGTCCGAAGATTTTGCCGACAAGCACCAAGAAGTGTAGCTGATATTATGGCATTTTCTTTGAAGGCTGTCAGACACTATGAACCGGGCATTCATGATGATCTTGCGAGGTGTTATCGTTGATTACTTGTTTTCTGTGTGTTTTCTTCTCCGAAATAATGAAGTTTGTTTCATCGTTGCCTCCCCCCAACACAAATACCCAGAGTTAGTTCCGTTCCAACCAGTTTAAAAAATTCGTAAGTGAAGTGTGAATCAACTGAGATTAATAAAATATGATTAAGAGAAAAGTTTGTAATTGTAACATAATTTATATTTATATATGTTTTCGCAAAATTAATTAAATAAATTAAAATTTATTTAGATAATTTAATTTAAAAGTTATTTGAAATAAATAATGATAAAAATGAATATGAATTTTTTTATATATGTTTGTATGATTAATTTGATATTTAGAAAAAATTAAACTTCAAAGTTTAAAATGACAATTTAAAAAAGGTAGATTACAAATTTAAAGTACATTGATAAATAAATAAAAATTATTTTTTTAATAAGGTTGATAATAGAATCGAAACTATAATACAGGTTATATAAATTGGCCAAAATAATCAGTTATATAGGTTAAATTGAGTTGAAGAATAATCGATCAAATGGGATAGATTGTGTTGAAAAAATGGACCCAATTAAAATGAGTTTTTTTTTATTTAGATTAAATAACTCATGAATTATATGGACTAATTTTAATAAATTAAGGTTGGTTTGTTTAACTCAATTATTTAAAATTATAAAAAAAATTGGAAGAGTGTTTTGATTAATAAATTTTGATAAATAGATAGGCTAGCTTAATTTATATATTTTATATGAATGTTATATATTAACATTTTGGTGTATCTATAATGAATTACGACATAAAAGGATATCATATTAAAATTTATTATCATTTTCATTTAGGTATATTTTTAAAAAATTTATAAAAAATTAATTGAAACATAAAATTAAATGAATCAGCTGATTAACCTATTTAAATTGCTACCTCTCAAGAATTAGGTTGGGTTGGATTGAAATTTTTTAACTCATATAAAAACAAATTAAATCCAACTTAACTCGTATGGGCCAACTTATATGGTCTGGGTTAGCTAATTAAAATATTAAAATAAATATATTTTGTATTATCATCATTTAAATGCTTTTAAAAATAAGATAAAAACATTTGTCTATGATAATTACTAAATGAATAATATATTTATTTTAATATTATGATTAATAATCTTACATCATTAAATCAAACAAGTAACTAAATAGACAGACATGATGAAATATGAAAGTAGATATTGAGCTCGAAAAGAATTAAATCCACGCATGACTGTTTACGAAGATACAGCGAGCCAATCCAATTATACTGTACATGCATGAAGGGCAAATGTCAAAGGTGATAATATATATATGTATGTATGTATGTATAAAGAGGGGGGAGAGAGAAAAGGCAGCTCAACGCGCTTTAGCTCCAAAAGCCGGGAATTTTAGCTTCGTCAAAACTCTTCTGAATTCTTTTCCACCCAAACATAATGTTTTAAATGAGCGTTTCACGTCTAAACTGAGATTGGGAACACCCAAACCTCAGTTGAGGAGTTAGCCAAACAAACACTTGTGTTTGAATTAAAAAAATTAGCAAATAAAGTTAAAATTTAATTGAGATTAGTAAATTAATGTTAAAAAAAAATATGTAACTGTAACATAATTTATGTTTGAATGTCTTTTTTTAAAAGTTAATTGGACAAACTAAAATTTATTTAAATAATTTGATTCAAAAGTCAATTAAGACATACAGTGACAAAAATATATAAATTTTCTTCCATATATTTTTATAACTAATTTAATATTTTTTCTTAAATTTAAAATTACAATTAGTAAGTAAAAAAATAGACATGGATTATTTTTGTGGCCAATTTCATAATTTTAGAAAAAAAATATGAAACTTAAAATTACAATTAGTAAGCAAAAAATCTTAACTTTTAGCAGCAAATAGAGGATGAATCAGCAAAAAGGAAAAAGTAATGTCCGGCCAAAACATCACCAATATATGCAATAACATAGTAATAAATAACTAACGACACTTGATTACCAGTTAAGCTAATATTAACATGTCAAAGGGCTGACCCTTTCTTATTGCAGAAGCCAACAATAAGAAGCGGTCTATATCATATTACGATTCATAAATGATGCGTATACATTGTTGGGCCACATATGTCGCAAAATAGTGAGTCCTTAAGATCCACTTCTTGTCCTAGCTACTTCAAAATTGAGTATTTCAAGTGTCACTCTAAAGATAATGTAGCCTCTAAGTTCCCTCAATGTGCTTTACCCCTTAAATCCCAAGAAGAAGGTGTATTAATTGAGTGCACACCCAATATTGTGGTACATCTTGTCTAGAGCCAATCTGATGTGGATGAAAAAATTATTGTGGACGAAGTTCTTTAAGATCATCTTGGGGTAATGTGATGTCTATTAGCTATTTCATCACTTAATGATTCATAGAAAAGGAATGGTATCTTCCACACGTTTGTGAAGTGTAGTGATAAGTCATGTAAGTTAGTCATAGACAATGGGAATGAGCTGAATGTGATCTCCAATCACAGCATTACCCGACTTGGGCTTAATACAGAGCCTCTTCCCTTATTAGGGCAACCTTGAATGAAGCAACATTATTGTTGCGGTTGTTTTAAAAGTAATTGCCCAACCCACACTAACTCTTATACCCATCAAAATGTCTCAGTTGTTAGACGAGTTTAAAGATGTAGCACTTGAGAAATTACCTTCAGAATTTCCACCCATAAGAGATTTCTAACATGCGATAGACTTAGTTCTCGGATCGCAATTTCCCAACTTACTACACTACAAGACGAACTCGATAGATAAAGATGGGTTAAATTGACAATTTAACATATTACTCGAGAAAGATTACATCTATCATAGTCTTAGCCCTTGTGTTGTACTTGCCCTCCTAACTCCAAAGAAAGACAGTTCTTAAAGGATATGTGTGGATAGCCAAACCATTAATAAGATAATCGTTCAATATCAATTTTCAATCCGTAAGCTTAACGACATGCTAGGCTTAGTTTCTAGGTCTACTTGATTTTTCAAAATTGATATTTGAAGTGGGTATCATCAAATTTGGATTAGGCTTGGGGATGAGTAAAATACTATGTTCAAGACCTAAGATAGATTATATAAGTGGTTAGTTATGCTTTTTGGCTAAACAAATGCCCTTAGCACCTTCATAAGAGTCATGACCCATATTCTTTGACCTTACTTGGGAAAATTATTGGTTGTATACTTTGATGACATACTAATATTTAGCAAATATAGGGATGGCCACTTGGTCCACCTTTGATAAGTCCTCCTTATTCTTCATGAGGAATAATTCTATATTAGCACCCCTAAATGTTCCTTCCTATAAAACTAAGTCACTTTTTTTGGATTCATTATTTCCAAATATGGCCTATCCACTAATCCAGAAAAGGTCAAAGCTATATTGACCCTCCATGAAATACAAAGCTTTCATGACCTAGCATCCTTTTATAAACACTTTACATGAGACTTTAATACCATCATGACACCCATAACTAATTTCCTAAAGAAAAAACATTTAGTTGGACTCCTACAGTATCTAAGGCTTTTTAAACCATCAAAGAAAAGATGTCAGGTGCCTCAGTTCTTGCACTACCTAATTTTCACAAGTACTTCGAGGTTACATGTGATGTTTTTGGTATAGGAATTGGAGGTGTCCTTAGCCAAAAAAAGCCACCCAATAGCATTCTTTAGTGAAGAACTCAATAAGGCAAGGCAAAGGTACTTAATGTACGACAAGAAATTCTATGCCATTGTCTACTCACTTGATCATTAGAAGTACTATCTCCTACCTCAATAATTTATTTTGTATTTAGATAATCACTTGCCTTCTGGCAATTTTCAGTTAAGCCTCACTATCGGATAAAATGAAAGCAATAGAAGAAGGCTTTGAGAGGTTTTGGTTATGGTGAAAGGCATCGATGGTTCAATGCTTAATGTGTGCCTTGATGTTGTAATCACGAAACTGGCATGCCATGCAAAGGAGAGAATGAAAAAGGGAAAGCACATTAGCCTTTAATGGTTGCACAGCTAAAGCAGATAATGCCATTTTTCTAGAGATTCTCTACTTTCAAGATTGTTGCATAGGTGAGTAGTACGAAGTAATGAATATCCACTTTACCCCTTAATGAATACTAACTTAAGAAAACAATAGGCAAGCACTATAGAAGCCAATGTAAGAAGATGGTATACTAGTAGACGCAAGAAGAAAGAAGGGACAATGGCCAACAAACTTAGACACCGTATGCAGGCAACACTTAGTCAACAAAAGATTGGACGACTACAACAGTAGCGTACACAATCTCCAATCAAATTTGCAAAGATGAGAAGTAGGTAAAGAGCTGACTTGTGAAGACTCATGAAGGCTAAGGTAGAGCAAAGTCAGGGACTAGTGAAGATTGAAGAGAGAGAAGACTGATAAAATATTAAAATGCTCCTAATGTCTAACAACGCTCGATAGAAAGCTCCATCCAACAACTTCGTTGAAAATGCTCATTTCTCTCCCAATGCTTGTTCATTTTTTTTGGTCCAAATAAAATTTTGAAGGTTTTTACTATCCCAACTTAGGTTGGGGCCACTCCAAACTAAGTTACAATGTTATCCAAAGACACACAACTCTTATCTCTCGATTGGTTAGTAAAAACATGCATTGTTTGCTTGTTTGGTGCAATTTCTCCCTCTTTTGAATGATATAATATCATATAACATAATGCAATGCAATTTTAATATTATTGTAAAAATGAAGAGATAGCAACGGAATGCAATGAAAATTCAATAATTCACAGGAAAGATATGAATAAATATCATTATCATTTTAGTAATGATATGTAATGGTCAGGATATGGATCACATGCAATGAAAATGGTATAATGATTGGGAAGAGGGGTAGTCCTGCATTTTATCTGATTGGTTGGAAGAGAGAGGTATGTAAAAAAGTTTTCTCATATGCAAAGCGCACAATCAAGTTTAGTAAAAAAATAAATTTGATTGAGTGCTTTGCATGTGATTTTTTTATGCACCTCTCTCTTTCTAACCATTAGATAAAATGCATCATGAGGATTACCCAACTTTCCAATTACTATGCCATTCTCACTACATGTTATCCATACCTGTAATAGTCATTATCAAGAATCCATCTTAACCACTTTTTTAATAGTAATGTAATTTTGATTACCATTACACATACATTGAATTAAGCGGGCCCATGCGGGTCATGATTCCATTCCTTGAAATGTTCGGTTGCAATTTGAACATTGCCATTCCATGAAAATCTAAAATACCCCCATTTAAAGAAAAAACATTTTACCATTTTCTGATATTATTTTTGCTGCATGAGATCAAGTAATATTTAATCATTTAGAGAAATTTTAGATGGTCATGTTATCAAAATAAACTATATTTTATTTTTAAAATAAAATACCAAAATTAAAATAAGAAAGACATAACTTTAAATTCTTATACTTTGCTCACTTTTTGCTATTGATTCCTGTACTTTTTTATAGTGTTTTTGATCCATGTAATTTTGTTTTTATTGTTTTAGGTCCTTCCAAAGGCATAGGGATTTAAAATAATGAAAAACAAAAATATAAGGATCAAAAATATCAAAAAAATATATAAAAATTAAAAGTAAAATGTGAGTAAAGTACATAGTTTTAAAGTTATGTTCTCTTATAAAAATATAAATTCTTGTCATATGATTGGCAGCATCCAGACTCCAGAGTTGTTAAGGTTATATTTAATAGAACATATTCTGAAACAATTCATTTAAACACAAAATCTTGAATTAGAGTTTGCGTAAATATAGAAAATATTCCTGAAAAAATTGCCCAACCCATACTCAAATTTGATCCCACCAACGCTGGCTAGTTAAGTGGATCCGCAACATTCCTTCGTTGTTAGGTAATTAGCCACCATCAGCACCCTCTTTCCAGTTGCTTCCGTGGATCATATTTCATAATTTCAACGTGTTTCCCTCGATACGGTTTCGCCTATGCCGAAGATCATGAAAATTATCATATGCTCCAACTAGAAGACAGCATTTGTCCGCTGCAAGCGATCTTGATTCTTGCATCCTTGGATATCACCCCACACACAGTTATTTCTCTTGTATTTTGCTCAAATCACACACCAGCGAATTTGTGGTAATCATTTCAACGCTTAAATGTAATTTACCACCTAGACCAGATCACCAGAGCATGTTCTTATCATCATAGTCAAGAGAAATCATAATCATAAGCATCGCTCGTTGCACAGATCGAACCATAACCCCATGGCTATCAAATTACATAATTATTTTTTGATTCAACATAACATTTCTTTACCAGGATTACAATTACATGAATGGCGAGCCTAATCAGCAAATATGAAGTGTAATTTTCTGTGGTCTGTGTAAGGATGATAGTCTCTCAAACTAGACTCAATTCATCTGTATTATTTGCTGTTCGAAGGAGGCCTTGAAACTCATCAGCAAGCTTCTTTCGCAAAGCCAGCAGTTCTTCCCCTTCATCACATATGTAGGCAGAAGCTTGTCTGCCAGACAACGTTGCACCTTCCATGCTGTCTATGTAGTCCTGCACAAATTATCTCTTTTAGCCTTTCCAGTATTTAAAATGTACATACAACTAACATATACACCCATGAATTATGCACCACAAGTCAGCTAATCTCAGAACTGCCATGAAACTGCTAAGGGTATGGCAAAAGCTCAAATGGATTAGGCACAAACGTCAGCACAAGTGTGGTTTACTCCTTGAGTTCAAATTAAGCGTGCATAAGCTTGAATGATAAGGGCATGCTACTATTCCTTCTGTTGTTTTGTCCTCTCCTATATTTTTTTTTATTTGACAGGTGTCCTCCCCTACATTTTTCTCATGAACAAGTTGTACGTCGCTCATGAGAAAAATCAGTGCGGACACCTTGCATCTGTTACATTGTAAGTTATGGCAAAGTGCGAATGGCAGCATTTAAGAAGTCACTCAGGGAAACTCGAACTCCAGGCACCGTATGAGTGATAAATATTTTACAGGACTACGGTGGCATTTCACAGTACATGCTGGAACCAGTCAGAAAGTGATCCTTTTCAATCAGATATAGCAGCAACCAGGAAATTCTTTCTCCAATCATTGGCGCCAGTTCACTTTAATTAATCGTAACGCAATCTAAACATGTTAGAACAACTTTATAGGATCCATAGATTTCAGATTTAAAATATTTGGGCACGCTTTTGCCTTGGCTATGTCATATGTGCATGGGCCAAGGCACAGCTATGATGCTAATAAAGAAAACCAGGGCGATTAAACCTACCTGCTTTGTGTAAGAGCCAGCAAGGAAGAAATTCTTCACTGGGGTCTTCTGATCAGGTCTAAATGGATCTTTACCGGGTGCTTCACGGTACAGAGATTGCCCAATCTTAACCACAGATGACCAAGTCACTTCTAAACCTTGAGATGATGGGAACAGAGCCAAAACCTGATAACGTGTTTGTAAAACAGAACGGTGAGAAGATAAATGAACGCTTAACCATAGAAAATGCTGTGCTGATGCAACATTTCAAAACCATGGGAGTAGCTCCTCACGTGACAACATTTCAGTGTCAATAATAAATCAACAATCTGATCGGCACAGTTAAAGACAATAGGGTTTCCCCCCCAATCCTACCTGTTTCGCTACTCTTGAAATAATTTCTTCATTTGGTAAGGGCATGTATGGATCACCTGGTGTTAGAACACATCTGAAAAATGGAAAAAACATTTTGTGTTTGTAGGGTCAACACACAATTAAATGCTAAAGCACACTTTGAAGTCAGTGAGTAAGTTTTAATTCCTTTTGAAAGCAAAGATATAGATTTCGAAGCATGTCCACATTTTTCCCTCTAAAGTAAAATCCTTACTGAAGCAGGGATCCTTGTCCCTCAATGTAATAATCTTCGGGAGACGTAAGCGCAAGATCTGCAAAGCAAGAAAAATCTGCATCTGGAGTATAAAGAAGATTATCTAACCCAACAGCTTTCCTTAGTTGCCTGCAAGTCAAAAAGGAAGGATTACACAATTCAAATGCTTAAAGGGTAAAATATCACTTTATTAAATAAAAGCATGAGCTCTAGTTTCTGTATGGGCCTTGAAATCAAGAAAATCACCTTGACTTTTCTAGATCCTGCAACTCTGTGACCCACCCATTGTATCTGAGTTGTACTGTGACCACAGGAACTCCTATTAGTTCGTATATGTTTTTGAAAAACTCCTGTTCTTTCCACTCCGATGGAATGAGTCTTTTAATTCCAGGGACATCACAAGCTGCCATCATGTTAATGACATTTTAAGGCGTCGGAACATATTTCCATGGTATGGGAATATAATGAAAAAGGAAACTAAGGATGACGGTTTCTAACCTGCAACATAAGCATCAGCTTTCACAATTTTTTTGCTAGTCGCCTGGGATACAATAAAGTAACAGAAATGTTAACTTCAAAAATATATTATTGTAAGATGCACACATTCCTCATGGAAGAATGAAGGGAAATTTTTTTAAGAAAATTAAGCCAACAGTTTGATCTGCAAGAACAAGTAATTTCTTCAGAGTCTCAGCAAGACAAGTTTGTCAATTTATGTTTGGCATGTCAATTTCCATGAGCCACGATACAAGAAATCTTATATTGAAATGATATAAGTGATCAATGCTGGGCAGGTTTGGCAACAAATTTCACTGCATCATGCCCAGGACTGTTGCTATCCCAAGGCCGGATGCAGGATAAAATACTAGGCACTGATATATCAGTTCGCATCAATGAGTGTTGACTTGTGAGCTTAATAGCATGATAAGAATTTATGTCAGAGTTTGTTGCTAAATATAAAAGCCAAGTTTTGATTACTGATGTATTTGAATTACAACCATTACTGTTCCACTGCAAAAGGCCGAATATTTCCATGGTTTGAACAGTTCTATCTTGGGAATATCACTTGAAAGAATCATGAAGAAGCATGTAAAAACTTCAGAAAAGAACACGAAGTATATCACCTTTGACATAGAAAGTCCCGTAACATACATACTCCCATCAGCAGATTTATCATAAAGTATCCCCCTGCATCCCCACCTAAGATGGAACCTGTTCAAGCAAGGCATTAAATTCTAACAATGGAGGAATTCGTATAGTCTTGGCAACATTCTGCATTAAAATTATACCTGCCCCCTCTGTCTGTGATGTACTTTTGGATAGGGCCACTCAAATAAACATCTGGTGAACCTTTCAGCATTCGCAGAAGGGAAGCATCAGTTTTTGTGGCAAACAATGCAAATATGGTGAGCATACAGCGAGCACTAATATTATCACAGTCAATAAATCCCAGGGCATATGCAACTGGATCCCACATTCTCTGGATACTCAGACGTGAGCCACCTTTGGACAAAAACCACTCTGAAAAGCTAACCTGTACAATATACATGGAGTGAGGAACCAAAGTTAGAACAGATGGAAAGCATTGGTATATTTACTTCATTAGGTATATGAACTAGGGCCAATGAACACTCCTCCCACTTGCACCTTTTGCACGGTTTTGTGAGGTTGATATGGACAATCATGTATGTGTGGTGGAAACAGGTGAAAGAAACCCAAATAGGAAAACAGGATAGCATATAACCAATAAACTACGTAAACAAGGGATCAATAATATCAAGGGGAAAACCCTCTTACGCTATCTAAATTCCTTATATCCCTCAACGCACCATCTGGATCAACAAGAGCCTTCACAACTGGACTCAGTGCAAGAGCAACAGCATTTCTAGCTTTATCATAAGTCTACACGCAGCAATTAAGTGTGAAGTTAGTCTCATTGATGACTTTGAATAAATGTATTCTTTTAATAAGTTAAATAGTACGCCAAGTTTAGTGAATGAAGAGAACTTTTGTCTCTGAAGTCAAGCAGAGTTTTCGAAAATGTAATACCATGCATTATTATCAACCTGAAGCATGTTTCCGAATTGACTAAGACATGCAATCAAGATAAACACTGATAGAATTTATGATGAAATTACCTTGAGCTGATTTGTGGAAAAAAATGCATTTATCCCATGCAATGGTGCCCCAATAGGAAAGCGGAAATCTAGTTCTGCACTGGAAAATTAAGTTATGAACAACACATTACGAAATTATTGTCTTTTCATACATGGTACTCTCATGGAAAAGGGAAAACATATTAGTAAAATAAATATTGAACATAGCAATGTGAAATCAGATCCAAAAGTTTAGCCTAAATCAAACCTCCAATTTGTCCTCCTTTGTTTACAAAAGTGTGAGTGTGCTGCTTCACCAGTAGATTTTTAGCGGCACCCACCTAATCATGAAAGCGCATAAACCAATCAGATACCTTAAAAAGCGGCCAATCAGAAAACAGGTTTGCTCGCAAAAAATAGAAACTGAAAAAATGAAAGTAATTGAAGATGATGAACAAGCTACGTGACTCTAAGCAAATTCTGCTGACCTTTTTCATCAAACGGAAAAGATTGTTGTAGCAACCAAAGAAAACATGCAATCCCATCTCAATGTGATTTCCTTGTTTATCAACAAAGGAACCGACTTTTCCCCCAATGAAAGACCTCGACTCATATATATCCACCTGAATGAGAGAATTTTAAGGAATAACAACGTGAGTTAACAATAGCTAGAAGATTCCCGTGCATTCAGTACCACGGGAAAACAGGAGTTAAACCTCATGTCCTTGGTCCAAGAGCTCCACTGCAGTTGACATGCCAGCAAGCCCAGCTCCTATAATGGCAACTTTTAGCTTGGGTCCTCGATAATGTTCAGGTTCCGGAGGAAACAGCCCTTTTGGCGCTGGATTTGAACAAATTATTTTATCAAACTTCAAAAGAAAATCAACTAGACAATTTCTTAAAATTTCGGGTCCGTAGGAACATGGAACCTCACATCATGCTTATAAAAACAGTTTCTGAACCCAGTCCCCGGTGCCCCACCGACATAAATTGGATACGATGTACAAGGATTGCAGTGAAGAACAACACTAAGCTCAGGAAAATAGAAAAATGAATTAAATTAAAACCAACCAAGGAAAAAAAGAAAGAAAGAAAGAAAGAAAAAACATGCTCCGAAATCATCTCCTGTTACCGTGGTAATTTCATTTCCCCCATCTTCTAGTCCCAAAGAAAAAATAGTACGCGTAGCCATGTCAAACTCAAAGGGGGTTAAAGTTCCAATAAATTCACTAAAGCCCCAATACAACCAGAATTTCATCTTTAAAAAAAAAAAAAAAATCATCAAGCAAGAGCAGTTAAACCGATGACTGGAGAAAGGATTTCTAACCGTTAACACTCATGTCGGAAACATTGGTATCCAAAGAGCAACTAACGCGACTCTTTTGGGTCCTCACCAAACGGCTACCGGGGGCCCAGAACCAAGCAGAGCGTCCTCGAGTTCCAGGGAGGGAGGTTGCCGGGTATAGAATTGAAGAAGCCATGGTTAGAGTTAACAAGGAAAGAAAAGAATGAAATTGTGGTTGAAGTAAATTAAAGGAAGGCCATGAATTCGAGGGAGCGTAAAGGGATCAAATTGAAGCAATACGGGATAGAAGGTAGGCGAAGAGAGAGCATTTGCTCGTGCGGGTTTGAATGAGATGCCGAAATTGATGAGTTTGTCACGTAGTTGAGGAATAGTGCTAATGAAGTTCGAGATTCCAAGGAGCTAATGAAGGAATTATATAAGGAAAGAATTGAAGAGATGGTGGAGACTAGAAAAGAAAAATGGCACAGGCCATCATGCACCAACGAAAACTCAGGCCAGTTGCTTGCTCGTCTCGATTTGGAGAGTGGAGTGGACACACGCAAGCATTATCACACTTTCTTTCTGAGTCAACCTATCTTTAGCCATTCGTTCCATTTTTTGACGTTGCTCTGATTGCGCTACGTGTCAGCTACTAATTCGTTGTTTTTATCCACCCGGCGTGCGGGTGGCCCTGTACATAATTTTTTGGTTTAAAATAAAAGAAATATGGCATTAAAAACCTTAAAAATAGACTTTATTATAATTTAAGTTTAAATAAATTTGATATTATTCTACAAGCCTTGAGGCCCTTATTGCCATTTTTTTTAGATTAAAAGTACAATTTTACCCTTTATTTAATTTGAATTCAAAATCTACGTGAACTCTCAAAATAACGAAATAAACCATGTACGATATAATATTTACTATGCACAAAATAATGTTCATGCATTTCAAGTATTTCACTGGCATTGACTTTAGCAAAAATGAATGAGCAGATCATGCACGACACAACATCTACTATGCCTAATACGATGTCCACACATGTCAACAGAAATTCTATGCATTTTCAATATTACTAGCAAGGACAACATGTACATTCATATAATGAATACAATTTCATGTTGGTAATTTAGCCTAGGTACTAAAATAAGTACCCATATGAAATTTGATACAATATTTCAAGTATGATATATACAAAAAGTTAGTTACTATATCCAAAATATCTAACAGTTGCTTCTCCATATACAAACAAAAAATATTTATGATTTCCACTTACCCAAAAAATATTATTTAAAAATGCTTTCATATATATAATTATAGTTGTTTGTGTACACCAAAGAAGTATAATGTAATCACTTCTCATGCTGGGTTAGGATTCTTGCATGTCTTGTGACTGTGTTCGGCCTTCCTACATCTTGAACAATGATAAATCTTCTTATTTTGGAAGACTCTATCCACCTTATTCGTGGCCTTTCGAGAGGATGGCTAGTTAAAAACGATTGCAAGAAAAAAAAGTTTGTGATATATTCTCACCTGAAAGTCCATGTGATTTCAATTTATCATTATGCTAGGCTTAACAAAATACTAAAGTTAGGAAAATGATGCATAACACAATATTTGCTATGCACAATATAAAGTTCATTTATTCTCAACTAAAGTTCATAAGATTATACTTTATCAGTAGGCTAGGCTTGACAAAATACACAAGTAAGCAAACAATGCACAACACAATATCCACTATACACAACATAATGTTTATATATTCTCAACTAAAAATCCATACGATTCTACTTTATCAGTAGGCTAGGTTTAATAAAATGCACAAATAAGCAAACAATGCATAACACAATATCTACTATTCACAATATAAGGTTTATTTATTTTCAACTAAAAGTTCATAAGATTCTACTTTATCAGTAGGTTAGGCTTGCCAAAATGCAAAAGTAAGCAAACAATACACAACACAATATCCACTATGCATAACTTAAGGTTCATATATTCTTAACTAAAAGTCCATACGATTCTAGTTTATCAGTAGGTTAGGTATAACAAAATGCACAAATAAGCAAACAATACATAACACAATATCTATTATGCACAATATAAGGTTCATTTATTCTCAACTAAAAGTCCATAAGATTCTACTTTATCAGTAGGTTAGGCTTTGATAAAATGCACAAATAAGCAAATAATGCACAGCACAATCTTCATATATTCTAAATTAAAAGTCCATGTATGTCCAGTTGGCTAGGCTTAATAAAAAGTTTCTCAAATTTATGAACAATAAAAAGTCTATATATAACATGATAAGGTTCATTTATTAACAATACAATGTCCATCTATTACACATGATTTGTGCGATTAAACTGAATATTTGAAAAAGTTTCTTAAGTTTATAAAGAACAAAGGTCTACATATAACATGAAAGTATTCATTTGTTAACAACATAATGTCCATAAATTTACAATACAAGGTTTGTCAATATGATACACATAAATATCCACACAAGTTAATTACAAAGTTTGCACAATGTATACTCTATAAATAACAACATAAATTTCACAAACAACATCTACACCAAAACATTTATATCAGTTGCAGAAAAATATGTATCAGAAACATCAAAAAGTCTATAAATAATAACTTGTTTTCATTAAATGAACATGAATGCATACATTATGATTAGATAAAATTGATATGGCTCAAACTCTCTCTAGATCCTTTTTTGACAAAATAAAACTGGCAATAGCAGATGCAGCACTTGATCCATTCTTTCCACACTATGGCGAATCGTTTCAAGAAGCTAATTGGCATGAGAGAAATGTAATCGGATGAATGTTGGATTGTCTTCTCCATATCCATATAGGTAAAAGTGGATCGCCCACTCATACCTATTGAACGAAAAAGCTTCAAATGAGAGAAAGAAGGAAGAAGGAGGAAGAAGAAGAGAGGGAATAGAGAAACATGATGGGGAGGAAAATAAATTTGGTTATTATATCAGTATTAAAAGAGGAAGAGAGAGAAGGAAGAGGGAGGAAGAATAGAGGAAGAAGAAGAAATTTTCGTTCAATAGCTAATTATGGGAGGGATAAATTGGTCATTTTACTAAAAAACATAATTGCAAAAGGCCCTCAAAATAATTTTAAAATCTATTAGGTCTTATCTACAAAATTCTTGCTTTTTAGTGCCCTTAGTGCCATTCCCCTTTGTTTCTGTTTAGGCAAAAAGCAGAGTGATGTAAAAGTTTAACTGTCTTGTCTAATCCAATCTAAGTTGAACAAACCCAATTCAATTCAACCTTGTAAAACAACTGACCCAAACGAATAAAAAAAACTAACAGGATTAAATTTTATTTTCAGGTTAAATTAGATAGAGGATTAAGTTTTCATACCACTTAATCTGATTGTCATATAAAATTATTTAAATACAATTATTGTTATTTTATAATACAGTTAAATGTAAGGCCTGAGACTTGATCATGAAATGCAGTTCAATCTTTAATTTCTTACTTCCATTCTTTTCATTCACTTTTGTTAACATGTTGTAATATAGCTTAGACATGCTTAAGTTCATTAAATGTTGTTATGGATTGAAAATGAAATACTTTTTATTATTGTTAAAGATTATTATGAATTTATTATGATTAATTTTAAATATTTTGTAATGAATTTTATATGATTATAAGCATTTTTATTATTTCAATTGAGTTTATCAAATTAAAATAAATTGGTGCATCTCAAAGAGAGAAAACAGAAATAAAAAGATATACCAAACTATTAGGATCAATCTCTCAATTTTATAAATTAAATCCAATCCTATTTAATTTTGAGTTAGGTCTACATAGAACTAGACCACGAACAACTTGACCCAATTCTTTTTAGTAAAGAAGTCAGGTTTCGGTGAAATCTTACCCAATCTGTTCTACGTACATCCTTAGCAAAAAGGTAAGCAAAAGTAACATAAATATTGGGCTATATTCAGGTCAAAAACTATCAGGCTAGAGGGTCCATTTTTTTGTGCCTTTCAGCGAAAGTTGATCTTACAGGCCTAAAAAGTATTCATTTGGCAAATGTGGCCCAAATTGAATAGGGAGCAAAAGCCCAAATGCGGTATCGGCCTAAAATATTAATGTTGGTTTATTTATAGTTATACTAAATGGCTGCAAAGAAATATGTAAGGATGTAGGAGAGTGTTAGATTTGCCTCTCGTAGCGTTCAGCGAACCATGAAGCATACAAAATAAAATGAAATGACATAAGAAATTAAATATATAAACAAATGATATTCATATTTTCAAATAGAAAAATACAGCAGACTAATAAATTACATTAGAAAGGAAATTCTTTTTTTTTTGCCATGATGCAATCAAAGATTGAAAAGGTGTGGTGGCTTGAGGACAAAGTGAACGAGTCAACTGGATGCTTTGCGATTAATATAGGAGGCCGTGAACATGGAATGTGAGGGTGAAGCTTAGGTGGCTGTTTGGATAGCTAATGAGGGTGTCGTTGTCTTGTTTTACCGCTTACGAGGACCCCCCCAGTGGTGGTGTTAGCATCGACCAAACAACCTTTGCTCTCTGGCTTATTAACAAAACATTAGGTATCTTTCCTTTTAAACGTGATTCTATTGGATGGCTTTACATGGCAGTGTGCCCTAATCCTTTGGCTCCACATGTGCCACTTTCCCTTTAATCTCTGACACACCCTTGTAGGTTATAAATTGCAAACCATGTCCTTACTTCATTTATTTTTCTAGGCTGCTCCAATCATTTAAATTCAAAGTTCAAGATTATATAGAGTAAATAGACCCTGTCCTCATATTTCTTTCTACGTTGTGCCTAACAGGCGAGAGTAAAAGGAAGTGAGGATCCTATCAAGTTTAGGTTTGGTAAAGTTAATTACTTTTTCTTTTTAAAATATACTCATACATTAAATAGGATATGGGGCCCTGAGATATTTGTGTTCATTGGTTGTAGTTTTATATAAAATAAAAAGGGTTGGTTTTGGTACTTGATCTTATTCTATATTCAACTGTCCACCCAACCTTTTCACTGTACATATGGATCATCAATTGACATTTCTTTAACACACCAATGCCAATCATGGGGTGATACCTAAGCCAAAGGGTGATGGGATTAATTGATGTTGAAAGTGCCCTCTTTCTGGAGCCACAAATTAAGATTGAAGTTTGAAATAATAAATATGATTATCATGGGATCCTAAGTGACGACTGATGCATCCTAACCTCCAAACATGCCACACGCCTGTGCCATGCTAATTCGTTTGCACACCTAAAGGAATCCATCCGCAAGCTTTATCTTCTCATCAAAGTCTTTTTAAACAAGTATGCTCATTGTTTGGCATATGTTATGCTCCTTCAATTATCACTAGACTACTGAGAAACTGGTTCAATATGTGTGTGTGTGTGTGTGTGTGTGTGTGTGTGTGTGTGTGTGTTGTTAATCATAAGGATAAACTTCGGCCCACAAAAAAAATATCTTTTCTAACTTACCAAGAGTAAAGATTAAAAAATTGGTTTATATTGGAAGGGAACAACTATGCA